AAAGAAAAGTAGGAGAAGTTTTACACCATGATATAGCTTTAAACACTATAGCATCAAAAAAACGATCAAAAGATTGTGACTTGTCAATGAAGATCCTTTGATTTCTTTCACCCAAGTAGTCCACAGAAAGGGTCGGATGAAATTTATCCATAACTGTTCCTTTATGTTTTTGAAGGGGTGTCCCATTAAGGTGGCCTCAAGGAGAAGTTTAGGGTCATTTGGTAATGCTGTGGACCAACCAAAAGCCAAGAGGATGACATTCCAAAAATCAGAAGCAAAAGTACAGGAAGTGAAGAGATGTTGTTGAGATTCCATGCTGTTCTTGCAAATGATACACCATTGTGGAGAAATAGCCATAAATGGGAGTCTTCTTTGTAGCTTATCGTTGGTACTGATGGCTTGGTGACTAAGTTCCCATAGGAAGAAATTCACCTTTTTAGGGCAATTTCCCTTTCAAATAAAGTTGTATAGGCTAGTTTGAGCTTGGTTGCTATGTGTGAGGTCCTTATGTGTGAGGTCCTTTGTGAGGGAGCTGGTGGAAAAAGAACCATTTGTTTCTAGATTCCAGTAAACAACATCCCTATCTGTTGTTAAATGAATCTCTGATAGCCTATGGTTAAGATCAACCCATTCAATTATCTCGTCATCTTTAAGGTTCCGCCTTAATCCCAAATTCCAGCAACTTGTAGATTCGTCCCAGATATCAGAGATTGGGGCGTCCTTTCTTGTTGACAAAGCGAAAAGGAGGGGAAAGGATTGTTTAAGAGGCAAACTATTCAGCCCACAGTGCTCCCAAAAGGAAATATTCATTCCATTTCCGGTTTTAAAGGCCAATCGATCAAAAATCAAATTTTGCATCTTTCTAATGGCAGCCCATGGGCTTTTAGCAGAAGGTTGTGATGTAGAGTTAGGTTTGAGATTCCATGATGCTTTACCAAATTTTGCCTCGATCACCTTCCTCCAAAGAGATGTTTCCTCTGTAATGAATCTCCATATCCATTTTGCAAGGAGGGTTCTGTTTTTCAGCTTCATATTAGCAATCCCTAGGCCCCCATATGAATTTGATGCTGTATAGTGTCTCTTTTGATGAGATGTAGTCCACTATTGTCTTTGTTACCCTTCCAAAGAAAACTTGTGTAGATGCTGTCCAAAGTATGTGCTACTTTTGATGGCAAAGGGAAGAGGGAAAGATAGTAAGTAGGGAGGTTCGATAAAGTGGCTTGGATGAGAGTATGTCTATCGCCTTTGGAGAGATACGAGGATTTCCATGATAGGAGACGTTTCTGAATTTTCTCAATCATTGGGTCCCAAAAAGAGAGAGACCGGTGCTTACCATGAAGGGATAGTCCAAGGTATGTGGTCGGCCAAGTCCCCAATTTACAAGCAAATTTGGATTGAAGAGCTGTCAGTTCATCCTCTCCAAGATTTATCCCCAAAATTTCTGACTTTTGGTGATTTATGTTTAACCCCGATGCCTACTCAAAAAGCCTAATGATGTTGAACATGTTTGTGAGGGAGAGGTTATCATATGGGGAGAAAAGGATGGTGTCATCAGCAAATTGTAGATGATGACTGGCCAATGAGTTGTTTCCCACATCAAAACCTTTAATAAAGTTGATGTTTGCTGCATGTGTCATAAGTCTACTATAGACATCAACAATCATAATAAATAAAAAGGGGGAGAGGGGGTCACCTTGACGGAGGCCCCTAGAAGCAGTAAGTTTACCCCGAGGACGACCATTTATAATGATTGAGAAATTTGTTGTTGAGATACACCCCCATATCCATTTTCTCCATGTGTGTCCGAAACCCTTGGCTGCAAAAACTTCATCAAGGAAGTCCCAATCCACTTTGTCAAAAGCCTTCTCAATATCAAGCTTGATAACCACTCATTTTCTCTTTTTTCTATCCCAATCCTCAATAATTTCGTTAGCAATTAAGGAGGCATCTAGGATTTGTCTCCCGGCCACAAATGCAGATTGCTCCTTGGTAATAGTATGTGGCAGTAAACTCTTCAACCTTTCTGAGAGAACTCTAGCTATAATTTTGTAGCAGCAAGAAATAAGGCTAATGGGCCGATAATCTCCCACCTTCCGAGCATCCACTTTCTTTGGGATGAGACAAATATAGGTTTCGTTGAGGCTAGCATTAATGATGCCGTTCTTAAAATAATCTTGGAACACTCTCATAATGTCGGGCTTGAGAATGTTCCAAAATTGTTTAAAGAACTCGGCCGTGTAACCGTCAGGACGAGGAGACTTGTTTGATCCCAAAGGAATGAAGATAAATGCTATAAGTTAAAAGCGTAATTATAATTTTTTTTATCTAATACACCTAAAGGTCTAATAACACAATGGAGATGCAGATGGAATTTGCTCAATACTTGAGTCACCACCATTGTCACCAAACATTTGTTAGTCGAAATAGGGACCATTTTAAAGAAATGAACTGTATTGAACAAAAGGTGACTCTTGAACTTAATTGATCTTGAGCCAGACCGAACTGGACTCGAGAGCTGTGAGTGTCTGAAATTTACGAACACCAAGCATACGAAGTGGGAACGACCAGACTTGAACAACGTGCTGACTACGAATGATAGACGTCACGAATGGCAGATTGTGGCAAAGATGCAATTGTGTATCCAAGTGGGCCGTATAGTACCAAAGCCTTTGAAGAATAGAGTATTGAGGACTGATTCTTGTCTAAGTTGGGGGCTTTTTGGTGATCTTATTTTTTATTTTAGATTGGAAGGATTTCTCTTTACTGTTGTGGGGGTTTGTATCTTTGAACGTAATTTTTCAACTCATAATGTAAAGTTTGTTTCTGCAAGGGAGTTAGTTTAATCAGGTTGATTTTTGGCCAAATATAATGCTGAATCAGTCTATCAATTTAAGAAAATTAAAACCATTGTGGAAACCAACATTTTTGAAAATTTGAACTGATTGCTAGACAAAATGGACCAAAAAGACCAAAGCCAAATCAAATAAAATAAAAATTAAAATGGACAAAGATAGTCAGAAGAGTACATTGAAACACTTGGTTAGGTGGGATATTGTCTCTCGTTGCAAGGAAGAAGGTGGTTTGGGTATTGGGAGATTGTTGCATAGAAATCATGCTTTGCTAGCCAAATGGGGCTAGCGGTTTAGTATAGAAACTTCAGCTCTTTGGAGGCGAGTTGTGGCAAGCATTTATGGTATTCACCGTTTTAACTGGAATGTTTCTGGGAAAAAAATTGGTAGTCGTCGTAGTCCATGGTTTTGCATTAAAAAATAGTGGTCGTTAGTGGCAAACTTCACCTTTTTCAGGGTTAAGAATGGCAAACGAGTTCTATTTTGGCACCATTTATGGCCGGGGGATTCTATCTTAAAGGATAGGTTTCCATCCTTATTTCGGATCTCTTCTTCTCCTTATATAGTCCATGATGCTTGGACTCACATTCTTCTTCTTGGAGAATTGAAGTTAGGAGAATGCTAAAAGATGAAGAATTGGAAGAATATTTATCTTTGCTGTCATGTTTAAATCCGATTCAGCTTTGTGATGATGAAGATCAGTTGAAATGGAGTTTAAACTCTTCTGAATCCTTTTCGGTTAGCTCCCTCTGTAAGCCTAGAGTTGGTCCTTCATCTCTGCCTAAGGATTTTGTTTCAAGATTGTGGAATTCGTGCAGCCCAAAAAGGGTGAATGTTCTAACATGGATTCTCCTTAATGGGAAAGTAAATACTTCCGAAACTCTCCAAAAGAAGCTGCCTAACATGCCCCTCCAACCTTCTATATGTGTTTTGTGTGCTGCCACTTGCGAAGACCAAGTGCATTTGTTTCTCTTTTGTCCTTATGCATCAGTTTGTTGGGATCTTTTCTTTCATATGTTCAATTTAGCTTGGGTAAAGGACAAGTCAGTATCTTCATCAATTTTTCAGTTGCTATTTGGTCCTTTCTTTTCGCCTAAAGCAAGTCTTCTTTGAGTAAACGGCCTTAAAGCGCTTATATCTGAGTTATGGTTTGAGCGGAATCAAAGGAATTTCGAAGGGAAAAGCCGCTCAGCTTTCGAATGCTACAGTATAGCTAAGTTCAAAGCCTCACAATGGTGTGCTCTCTCCAATCTCTTTGCAAATTATTCTCCTAGCATGATTTGTTCGAATTGGGAGGCTTTTTTGTGTAATGTTTAAGCTTCATTTATTAAGTTTGGTTTGTTTTTATCTTTTTTTATTTTTATTTTTATTTTTATTTTTTTTTCCTTCTTCATCCCCTTCATTTCACCCTTTGGGGTTCATGTCTTTGAACAATTTTTGTTCCTTTTCATTAATCAATGAAAAGTTCATTTCTGGTTAAAAAAAAAATGGACAAAAATAAAACTAGTCAAAATGATAAAATTGACCAGTTTGGTTGGTTTATTGATGTAAGCATATATCACCCTTTTGCAACTATAGCTTAAACTATTGTATATCGGTATATCCCATTGGTGAAGTTTTTTGTAATCCCTTGGATGAGTTTCTTTCCCTTTTGTATTTTGTATTGTTTAATTGATTAACGAAATTGTTTCCTATGATAAAAAGGTTGCCGAATTAACTGCATTGACAGTGTCTTGTTTACATGTTTAGTTTACTTTGACTTTTTACTTGTTATTTAAAGTAGCTGTTAGTTTATTAGCTGGCTAGCATAACAGCTTAAATAGTTACAGTTAGGCAGTAAATTTTTCGATCCACTGTTAATCCATGGCCATAAATTGGATCTTCATTGTATTGTGGGGTTGGTTTCCCAGATTTCCTTCATAACCCTGCACCATCGCCCTCTTGTTTTATATCTTAATCCATGGCCATAAATTGGATCTTCATTGTATTATCATTACTGTATTATATCTTCATTCATAATAATTTATTTTTTCTATACATAGAAGGTTCAGTTTCTAATGGAAAGGATTTACCAAGTCCTCTTGCCGAAAAGCATTGAAGATGACATTAAATAGAACTGATCATGAATGTTGTGTTTGGTTTTTGTCTTAGGATAGAGGGAAACACATTGGCAATGTCATCTCAGACTCTGCTGGAAATTGTGTTTGGTGTAAGCTGGAAAAAGCATCATCTGACATCGACCCAAATGCATGCCTCATCTGCAAAGTTGGGGGAAAACTCTTGTGGGTACTTTTATTGGTTTCTCATTTCTTCCCCCTGAATATCTTTTACATGAAAACCATTTTGGAGGCATTTTATTTTTTTGTTTTATTTGGGAATGGTGTGATGATTGTTGAAAGAAAACATTGCAGAGAGGATGAACGAAAAATATAATCACTTAGATGAACAATAATCAAGGAAATTACATTCTGTTTGGAAAATTTCTTAGATCTCTAGTTAACAAAGGGTTACGAGAGATTAGAATGAGCTCTATTCCAAATACCCCTTGCAACATAGTGATGTCTTCAAAATTTTTATTTCTTTCTAATCAAATTCTCCAAGATACGACCATCTATAAAATGATCATGTTTCCTATATATCTATATACAAAACTTTATACAAGTATGAAACCGAAAGGCGGAAGAGTACTATATTTACTCAGAGCTGTTGAGGAGTGGAAAGCTCCTCCATTATTTCATGTTCATTTAATGAATAGCTCAATAGAAGTCAAATGTTAAAAATATTGCAAGTAGACTGTCAAAAAATTAGCGATGCACTGACGGGAGGGTGAAGTGTTTAAGTCGAAGTTTTCCTTAATTCTTTCCCTCTCTTGATCTTTATTTTCTTCGTTGTCTTCTTTTATTTTCTTTCTTAGCTATACCTGGTGTATGGTTTTATTTTGTGTGAAGACGAGGACTATATAATATTGTTGTTATTAATCACATTCTTAGAACTTTTTCCCCTTCTTAATGGTGTGCTCTTTACCAGCTTTTCTCTAATTTTTCTTTACAAGATATTTGTATGAACTGGGAGATTTTTGTTATTCCTCCTTTTTTTGATTTTGGTGTTTGTTTCTATCTTTTCACATGAAAAGTGTCGTTTATTGTTCACATATATAACTATATAAGCATCTATTACACGCGGAGAACTAATATGGAATCCCAGTTTCTTATACAACTCTCTCCTTCTAATATTGTTTAATTTTTGGCTTTGCCCATTCCTCTTGTTTTGTTAGCATACATGTGGCTGTTGTAAGAACTAAGATGTATTTATCTTGAAACTTCAGTTTTCTTGCTGATTGGTTTCTACGTGTATATCTTTTATCATGCTTACTTTTAGATGCTGTGAAGGAAAAGAATGTAGAAGAAGCTTCCATCTTTCTTGTCTAGATCCTCCCTTGGAAAATGTTCCTCTAGGAGTTTGGCATTGTCCAATGTGTATTGGAAGGAAGATCAAATTTGGTGTGCATGCTGTGTCAAAGGGGTTTGAGTCCATCTGGGATACCAGAGAAGTAGAGATATCGGATGCTGATGGTATGATTACTTAATGATTCAGGCTTACACATGTAATAGTAATAATGTTGATGTTCAAACTACAGTGTTCCCAAGCTACTTATGATGAATTTTTGCTTTGACCTTCAGGTCTATATCCTTTTTTAGCTTTTTATTTATTTATTTTTAATAATAATTATATAATTTTCTTCAGATTCTTTGTTATCTTTTATTGTCTTCAAGGGTTGCAAAGGCGGAAACAATATTTTGTGAAATATAAAGATCTTGGTCATGCTCATAATCGATGGATACTGGAGAGTGAATTGCTTTTGGAAGCCTCAAGCCTTGTTTCAAGATTCAACCGAAGAAATCAGGTCTGTATTTCTTCTTTCCAAAAGTTGATGTGTTGTTCAATTAGAAGTCTCCTGGATTGTATCTTTACATTTTTATATTTAGAACACACTTCAGTTTTCTTTTTAAATTTTCCTAATGGTTAAAAATCTTTTTCCATATTCAAAATTGTGCAATGTATCATTAAGTATTTGGACGGAGAACTAAATTATGTCAAGCTAAAAGAATTCAGGATTTTAGGCATGGAAACAAACGCTCCTCCAAGCAAACAAAGAGGATGAAAATTGAATGTGTTGCATAAAATGATGAAAATGGAACTCATTCAATAGACAAGGAATAATAGTTAAGCCAAAAATTTGACATCTTAGGGTTCGTTTGGTTGGTGATCCATAAATAGGAATTTGAAAACTAGCCATTTAATAGAAAATAATTGCATTCCATGTTTTTAATATGTGTTTGGTAGCAGATTTAGAATTCGAAAACACTGAAAACATATAAATGTTGTTTTAAAAAATTCACTTGAGTGTTAAGTCACATAATCCATATACAAATCCAAATAATTATTTTAGAAATTAAACTCACCCAACAAAAATTCACTGACTTTGTTTAATTCAATTCATCTGTTGCTATGAAGCGTTGGCTTTTCGAGATCTCCCTTGGAGTTCTTGTTCTTCAATGTTTTATTTATCTCTTGGCTTTTGTTGTATTTGGAGAACTTTACTTTATTTGTTCAGTTCTTTTGTTTTTTTTCAACCCCTTTTGGAGTTTTAATCCTTGAACATTTTTTCATTTGATTCAATGAATCTGAAAACAAAAAATTGAAGTTGGATAAAATACCAAGTCGATCCTGCTCTGTTCTAAATAAGTTATATATTTGTTTTTTTTTGTCTTAAAAAGAGTATGCTTGCTTGTTTCCGATGAAATAAGTGAAAATAGAGTTGAAACTGCACATGTATAAAACAAAACACCCATAATCATTTGATAGCTCTAGTGTATGTCTTCTAGAAGTTCTCAATGCTAAACCGGAAAGGTTGGCCTATAACTTGAGAGAGAATTTGCAGCGAAGAAAGAGGTATATATATATATATTTATTACTTTTTTTGAGAACAGGAAATAGGTAATTAACTGGATCATGTATTATATTGTGATTTTGGGATGGGACTAACCTTGACCCTTCCGCATTTCAAAATTCTAATTATTTTTCTATTTTGCTACCTTCTTTTCTTCCATCAATTTATTAATACATAAGTATTAATTATCTTATAATATAATAATATTATTATTGGTGTAACCAAGAAGAAACTTTTATTGAATAGTAAAGTTGTGAAACAATGAGAAGGAAGCCTCCTATTTATAGGAGAAGGCTTACTGAAATAGAAGCCTTTAAAGGCTGAAACCGAAAACAAACCAACAGCTTGTGAGGTATCTCCTCACAGAATTTGGATTGAAATCGAAAGAGAGCCCTTAGGCAATACAACCAAAACAACTAACACAGAAACACAGAGACACACAAAACAACCCACCAATTTGAGAGGGTGGGGAATTCTCCCAAAGGCTACGCAGTAGCTCAAAAATACCAAATGCAGAATGATCCCCCTCCCAATATTCCCTCCCACTAAAAAGGACTACACAGCCTACACTACTCCTACTGACGCATTCTCTCTCCTGGCCGTTTGGCCTACATGTGGTCAATTACCTCCTTACCCTTCTTACTATAGGTATTTATAATCGAGGGTCTAATACAGCTTTAAGAAAACAACTAACTAACTAGAACAAACTACTAACAACCTATACGGTTACATCAATTACTTAAAGTAATAAATAATAAAACTTAACTTTCTCTGTTTTTGACATAAAATTAAGATAATTTTTATGTATTTCTTTCCTAAATGAAAATATTAGACATCTAAACTTTTAATAGTGAACTCCCACAGCTATTATCAAGTCCATGGAGAAGCAGGTGAAGGATTTCTTTTGGGATGGAGGGTCCTTTCATCCTTGTAGCCACTTGGTGAAATGGGAGTGGACTTCGCTTTCCCTCTTGTATGGCGGCCTAGGTATCGGCTCTTTGAAACAATGAAACAATGCCCTCTTACTTAAACGGTTATGGTGCTCTACTTAAGAAGGAGGAGCTCTTTGGAGGCGTGTAATAGAAACCATTTATGGAACATCCCACGGGTGGTTGACTGCTACCCCGAAAGGGGCTACAAAAGGGCGGCCTTCGTTTGCAATACCTAAGAATATAGATCTCTTCCTTAAGTTTATGTCCTTCGAAGCCAACAATGGGAGGAAAATCAGATACTGGAAGGATCATTGGATTGCTGACCAACCCTTGGAGAAGACTTTCCCTGACCTCTTTTTACTCTCTTCAAGGAAGGATGACACCATTCATAATTGTTGGTGTAGAGACTAAGGTTGGAGAGAATCCAATGTTCTGTATTATCATTATTAAAGTCTATATATATAGACAAATATACAAAGTTGACCTAATCCTATAAGGAGAAGGTAAATGACAAATTAATATTAATACAATAATATAAAATATACTAATATATACTCTAACCCTCCCCCTCAAGTTGGTGCATATATGTTAATCATGCCCAACTTGTTAGATAAATAATCTATTCGTGCTTCATTCAACTTGTGTTATGTGATTTTTGATATCATTGGGATCACCTCAGAAGTTACGATTGATTTCTTCTCAGCCATAACAAACAAGCGAACTTATTTGAACAAAACGACAGAACCAGACCAAACCACCCGAACCAAACAAAACAGATGAATCAAACGGTTGGAACCAAACCGGATTAGGTGTTTTCTGAAACTAGGAACCAAACTGGATTAGGTGTTTTATGAAACCAGAAACCTCAAGTGCTCCCCCACGACAACTAGAGGGGCGAAGGCGATTGGCGGTGATGGAAGCGCACGGCGACTAGCGACAACAAA